TGATTTAAATCTTGGAATGACCTACTAAGAAAACATAAAATGAATTTCTTTACCATAAATAACATCAGATGAGGAAGTAGATTGCAATAAGATTCTGAATGGTGGAGGCTGAAACAAAAACATTGATGAGCAATGGACAACTTGCATGTTAGACTAAATTTTAAACTAAGTAAAGAGAAGGGAATCAAACACCACAGCTAAAAACAACATAATAAAACTTGTAAAATTGCAAACTTTGGTTGCAAAATGATATATAAAGCTTGGAAAATATAGCCTTACAAAGTTTGCAAATTTTGTATATGTTTGTATTATGTGCGGCAATTGTTACCATTTTCGGCTGAAAAAATGGTAACAATTTCTCCACGTAATGTTTGAACTGTTGTAAACAAATGTTCTTAGTTCAATTTGAAATTAACAATTCAATAGAAAGTTCTTGGTTCAGCGGTTTGTATTTCATTCAATTGGTTATTATTATTGAATATGAACATTTGTTTACAAACAAAGTTCAAACATTGAAAAGAACTTAGAAACTTTGTTGCAAAGTTTGTGCCCAATTTCCAAACTTGGAAACGTAATTGGGAAGTTCGCAACAAACTTGGGAACCGCGTGTTGAAAAGTGACTTGAAATCGACAATAATTTGTCATCCAAAATGGCAGAAGTCAACTAATACATGACATCACTTGCAAGAGCCCAATAGCAGGGAATGAATCTGCGATTCCTGTGCAGCACTCTAACCAAATGAGCTATTGGAGTATTGAGCTACAGATGCCATTGTTGAGCTCTAACCACAAGTTCATGTATATATGATAAGGTGGACTTGACTAGTAAACAAGTACTATATTAGCCAATTTTTCTGATTCAAGTACTTTAGTGTGGCATTAAAATCGTTTCAGCAAACCAAATGTTTATTTAAATCACACACATTCTGATTCAAATATACTGACCTTTGAATCCAAAACATGGTCAAAAGTTCCTACCAAGAGCGAAGTAAAGCCGCTATCTTGATGTCCCTTTCTTCTTTGAAGACTAAAATAAGGATTCGCTCGTTCTGTTGTCCTTTTAAAAACACAAGAACAAAATACAGTGTCAACAATTAGCTCAATTTGTGACTCGCCTTTCAGTTGTCCAAAATTTAAAATCTTTGGCTTTATTTTTACACTTTAGAAACTTACCACAAAGCATTAGCCAGAATAACTTCGGCTGGTTTAATCCACATCGTTTTACTTGGTCAAAAACCAAAAGAAATAAGACTTTCATAATTTTTTTCTTTAAACATTTTTGGAAAATGAACAATGTTTTTATTTTTGAATACTAATTAGGGACCGCGAGAATTTTGGGGGAATGGAAGAGAAATCATGGAAAGCAATCCAGGTACGTATGTAGGCCAGTTGGTGGAAGCTCAGGGGCGTTCCAGTCACCTATATAGGTCAGTTCAACATGAACGGCGTTCCAGTGACCTATACCGATCATCTTTCAATGCAGCATCAATGGACTTTTCAATGAAAACATCACAAAATAAAATAATGTTTAATACATTTTATTTGGATAAAAAATGGTCCTAAACTCTTTTCAATGTGCAGATGTTAATAACGTAACATTTAGTTTAGGTTTCCTCCTGTAGTAACACTGGATCAATAAGAGATGACCCTTACTGGACCTCTAGGAAGAACAGTTTAGAACTGACAGATCTGGTATATAAATTTACTTAACAACGCTTGCACATTAAAATCAATTTAGGAAGCATCTAAATATAGACGTCTGTTTCCCCACATTTTATTAACATTTAACTTATTATATATATTTAAAAACTAACTTTATATATCTGTACAGAAATTGATTTCTATTCTAATTTGATCATACAAAAGTTTGCGCAAAAACGTTGAAGCATTACAGGACAAGAGATGGTGACATTTCCAGAAATGTTCACAATTATAGTACAAAACTAAACTACACGTTTTTCAGTCCTAAATGTATTTGTTTCCAAATACAAGACTGCTACATAAAATGAAAAGAATGAACATTATGCTGCACGACCAAATTAACCAAATTGTCAGACCATCTAAAGCGAATTCACAACAACTTTAAAGTATTATCTGTGTTTGTTTAACCATACTTATCTGAGCAAATCTGTGTAATCAAGCGATGAATAATTTAGAAAATCTTGATATGACTTCCACCCCAATCAATTTGACGTCGAATTCAGTGTAAAACTGCATATTTTGGCGAGGATTATCGCGGTGGCAGTAAGGTCAGGCACACCATGGCGTTATGCATCACGAACGATCTTGATCATTGTACGACTGACATGATATCTGGTCAAACTACTTTGTCATACATATCTAACGAGTCTTGAAGTTTGTTCACAATCTGAACAACAGTAAATTTTTATTGGTACAAGTTTTCTCTATTATATTACTATTATCATCATCATCATTACATCATCATCACCATAATCATCATCATACCATAATCACCACCATATCATCACCATCACCGTTATCATCATCATCATCATCACCATCAAAATAATCATCATCACAATCAAAATAATCATCAGCACAATCATCACCAGCATCATCGCCATCACATACAGTGACACTTACCCCTTGATAAAAGTTAATTTGCTCTCGTAAAAAATGCTGCATCATCGCCTTGTGATCAATCACTCTTTGCTTATGGAATAAATTAATTTCAGCTGAAAGACAGAGGTAATTTATTCATTAAATATCGCTAAATTTCATGCAAGTGTAAATAATGATAGTTACTTACAAAGCGTGACATTCGTGATGACATTAGCTCGTGTTGTTACTTGCTCCACTAAATCAGGCTGAAACAGCACAAATTATTTTTATTTTACCATGGTTACCTCGATTAATCATTGTAGGAAATCTAAACTAAGTTCTAAACTGTTCTTCCTAGAGATTTGGAAGCACTTTTCTTAAATTAGAACCAGACAGATTGCAACAATATAACAGTCAATATTAAAATACCTCAACTCTCTCCTCAGTTTGTTTTCTTTCGCAATCTTTCACTTTTTCGACAGTGGACTAAATAATAAAACATGGATGGTTAAGAATCAAGCCATGTCAACAATGGTACTGTTATGGTAGACATGATAGCATGGGTCGATCTGCAGAGTTCATTAATATTCCTCCTAATAAATTATTTTCTGTGTCTGTTATGCAATACCCTAAAATTTTCTGCCAGCTAAGCCAGGTCTGAAACTTTTCTGAGATTCAAGATGCCAGGATCATTATTTCCTGTTATGGTAGACATTCACATGTACCTTATGAACGTGAATTATTTCAGGGAAAGTCGATAAAATGCCCGTGTATTCTTGAAGTCCTTCCATCAGGTGCAATATGTCCAGTCTAGGCTGAAAGAAATAGCAGATTGGTCTTTGTAGACGAAATTTCCGAAATTTAAATACACTATTAAGCCAGTTTTACAATTCACGACAAGGTTGTTCTAACAAGTCTGATACAGTCATGATAAACAAGAATGTTACAAGGTTGACGACACAAGGTTGTAACAATATTGCTATATCATGAATGTATCAGACTTGTTGAAACAACCTTGCAACAAGCCTGATAATGTTAACAAAGTTGTTACAAGTTGTCAACAGCTTGTTCCAAACTTGTTGACAACTTTTTTGGATAGGCTTCGGTACGCTACGAACAAGTCTGATAAAGCCATCAAGCTTGTTACAATTTGTTACAATTTGTTAACAGCTTGTTGCAAACTTGTTACAACAACTAGGAACAAGCAGTGCGAAGACAACTTGTCGACAGCTTGTGAACAGATTTGTAACAACTTGTTAGCAGACTTGTAACAACTTGTGCGTTTTTATGTGTGTATATATCACTACTACATAACAATGAAAAGAATGAACATCATTTTCTAACCTGTTCGCCAAATGCCTCTCCTATATCAACATATGTTCTGCCAGTATGAGCGATCGCCTCCGTTATAGGTTGAGAATCTGATATAAAATAACACAGTTAATAAAATAGAATCACTATAATTTGCTACAGAACGAAGACTCGTGAACATCGTTATTGTTAAAACAACTTACATGCGCTACCATGTTGTTGAAAAGCGTCACTAAGGCTTTCAAACGACGAGCCAAACTTTCTATGCGAATTTTTGAACACTAAAAAACACATTAAAAAACACATATATAGTGTACGGTAATATTACATTACAACCCGACTTACTAACAAAAAATAGCAAAACACAACCAAATTGTTGGTTTTTACCTCCATCGTACTTGAGACCATAGGACTGACATCTTTCATAAAATCTCTGCACATTTTGTTCCATTGTTTTTGAAAATTGAGAAAATTCTTCGATTTTTATGTCACTAGAAAGAGGAAGAAATATCATAAACAATGCCATGCTAGGCAGATACTTGGGAAAGGGACAGGTAAAAACGCGCAAGTTGTTAGCGATCTGCAAACACGTTGTAACAAGGTTGCTGTCAAGCGATTTCAGGATGTGTTCGCACTGCTTGTTCCCAGTTGTTGTGACAAGTCTGGAACAAGTTGTTATCACCTTGTTACAAGGTTGATGACTGTTATAGACTTGCTACAAGTTGTTTCAACAAGACTAACACAGGCTGTTCGTAACAAGTTGCTACGAGCTTGTTGTCATCAACTTGTTAACAACTTGTTACGTGCAGACGATATCAGACTTGTTGGAACAACTTGCTTTGAATCTGTTGGCCTCATCAACCTTGTTACAAGATGATAACAACTTGTTCCAGACTTGTCAACAACTTGGAACAAGCAGTGCGAACACACCTTTTTGACAAGCTGGGAGATTTTTACGCGTATACCAGCTACGCTTCCCTACAATATTCGTTACACAGTTCAGCTTTTTGAATGATGGTTTTTAAGGCGCATTTCAGCCCTTTTAATTGAAAAAATTAACTAGGGAAATCAATTATGCATAATTCAAGATCAGATCTTGAATTATGCATAATTGATTTCCCTAGTTAGTTTTTTCGATTAAAAGGGCTGAAATGCGCCTTAAAAACCATCATTCAAAAAGCAGAACTGTGCCTTTCAGTAACAACTTACGCCTCGTCGATAGATATGGCTGTCATTGGACTTTTCACAGTTAGAAAGAAAGCAGCGCCACAGAGTTTATCGCACTCGGCTTTCCTTTTACCAGCTTTCCACTCCTGCAAAATGAAGAGCATCATCAGTTGAGCTGAGTTGCATGTGAAAAGTGCTTGTATTCTCACCCTACATCAAATATATCACTGGCTTTTAAAACAAAGAATTAACCACTCGCCTTTTCGCCGTCTTTACAGAAGAGAAAATGTTGAAAGACTTCACTTTTCGATACTAAAGGATGTCTTGTTAATCTATTGAGCCATCTCTCGAGCATTTCACGTCGTTTTTCTACAAATTCGTCGGCGTATTTTCCTATTGTAAAAGATGAAAACGGAAAATAATACTGGATATTCACAGGGTATGATAATGCGCGCACTTACGTACCGGAGGTGCGCCAATTAGAGGTGTGCAAATCCGATCCGAATCCGATCGGATTCGTTCGGATTTCGGAACAAAAATATACATTTCGGATCGGATTGATAAAGTTGTTTCGTAGTCGGATCGGACTTCGATATCCGAAATAAAATGAATTAATTATCCACGCATTATCGCAAGAATTAATTATCCATGCATTTATCAAAGCATTATCGCGGTTGTCGCTGCATTTTTCGAGTGATACTTCAATTGGACGTCACTATGTCAGCTTCTTGACATGTATTTCTTGCTTTTATATTTATTTGGTTAAATATTTCAACTTGAATGAGAAATTTATTTTATTAAAGGATTCTTTGGATCAGATCGGATTCCAATTCTTTATCCAAACTCGGATCGGATCGGATTAGACAATTTCGGATCGAATTTTAAACATTAGCCAATTGTCGGATTATAAACGTCCAATCCGCCAATATTACGGTCTAGTAACCTCAACCTTTAGTCCAAGTGTACGCAGGTTGATGTTGTTCATAACTTATTCTAATTTTTTAGTTTTACTGGTTTCGTTGTTTTAAATTCTAGCACTACATATAAAACATATACCGCCAGTCACGTACATTTTCTTGTAACATGTTATGTAAATGAGTGTCAGTTTAAACATTTGTAACGAATTTAATAATAATAATAATAATAACCTGTGATCTGTTTTTCAGGGATCGGTGGTATGGATAAACATGTGAATTTTTCCAGTAATCTACAGTACAGCCAATCAAAATGCTTGAAACGACGACTGACCGCGATACCCGTACACTGAGAATACAAGAAATACTGTTAAACCTATTCAATTTAAATACAGTTAGTTTAGTTTAGGTTTCCTCCTGTAGTAACACTGGATCAATAAGAGATGATCCTTACTGGACCTCTAGGAAGAACAGTTTAGAACGTAAGTTTAGGTTTCCTCCTGTAGTAACACTGGATCAATAAGAGATGATTCTTACTGGACCTCTAGGAAGAACAGTTTAGAACTGATAGAGCTATCTAGTATAAATAAAGTTAGTTTAGGTTTCATCCTGTAGTAACACTGGATCAATAAGAGATGATCCTCACTGGAACTCTAGGAAGAACAGTTTAGAACTGATAGAGCTATCCAGTAGAAATAAAGTTAGTTTGGTTTAGGTTTCCTCCTGTAGTAACACTGGATCAATAAGAGATGATTCTTACTGGGCCTCTAGAAAGAACAGTTTAGAACTGATAGAGCTTCGGTCTCGGCCTCTAGAAAGAACAGTTTAGAACTGATAGAGCTATCCAGTATAAATAAAGTTAGTTTAGGTTTCATCCTGTAGTAACACTGGATCAATAAGAGATGATCCTCACTGGAACTCTAGGAAGAACAGTTTAGAACTGATAGAGCTATCCAGTAGAAATAAAGTTAGTTTGGTTTAGGTTTCCTCCTGTAGTAACACTGGAGACCATATAATTGATAGAGCTGTCTGTAAGTTTAAGTTGAATACGTACGGACGGTGTGACGTTGTAAGCGATAAAATGTTTCATTCCTTTAAATTTGCTTTTCTTCTCCGGCTGAGTAACCACGCAATTGAAAAACTGCTCGAAAGTATGATCAAACAGGTTATGCCAGAATCAGAGCAAACACGTTTGATTGAGCTGAGCCAAACCAATTGGGGTGAAACAGCACAGAGGTTTGGCAATTTGATTGAGCTATTTCCAGCAATAATTGCAGCATATGATGAAGTTCATGAAGGTCCATGGCGAAAATACATTAGAGATGAAGATAAGAATATTAGAGCGAGTGGTTTGTACAGTAGCTAACGTTATTTGTTCTAAATGTTCTCCCTAGAGGTCCAGTAAGGCTTATTGATCCAGTTTATCATCTCTTATTGATCCAGTGTTACTACAGGAGGAAACCTAAGCTAAACTAACTTTATTTATACTGGATAGCTCTATCAGTTCTAAACTGTTCTTCCTAGAGGCTCAGTAAGGATCATCTCTTATTGATCCAGTGTTACTACAAGAGGACACCTAAACTAAACTAACTTTATTTATACTGGATAGCTCTATCAGTTCTAAACTGTTCTTCCTAGAGGTCCAGTAAGGATCATCTCTTATTGATCCAGTGTTACTACAAGAGGACACCTAAACTAAACTAACTTTATTTATACTAGACAGCTCTATCAGTTCTAAACTGTTCTTCCTAGAGGCACAGTTTAAGCATCATCTTTTATCCAGTGTTACTAGGAAAGGAGTACTGGGAGAGAACTTGCAATATTTGGTGATAGAGCTATCCGGTATAAATAAAGTTAGTTTAGTTTAGGTTTC